AGACGTTTTTTGTTTGTTTGTTTGTTTGTTTGTTTGTTGTTGTTGTTGTTTTTGTGTTTTTTTTTTACTTTTGCTTTTCTGCAGTTGTGTAGAAGAGATGAGTAGTAATGGAAGATGAGAAGAAACACAGCAGTTCCCCCTTCCCTAATTTATCATGTTAACAAATGATATGTTCAGCACCCCCACTCCCTCCACTGGATGAGGCATGCGTGCAGATGGATGCATCCCCAGCCCGTGTGGGAGCGTGTGTGTCTGCCTCTGGCATTGTCTCTCTGCAGGGGAGGTTGCTGGTGGCGTGCCTACGCTGCTGTGGTAATTGCATTTTATCCTTATTTTTTTATTTTTTTTATGCCTCGTGTTTGCTGGTGTGTGCCTGTTTGTCGGTCGAACTATCTGGACCCCTGCAAGAAGAGGAGTCATACGTGCAAAGACATCAGCAGTATTGAGGCGGGAGCAAACAGAGGAAAGTTAGTTGAACAGGGAAAGAGTAACACAAGAAGAGGGGATAGTACAAAAAGGAGTGAAAGAGACCAAACACGCAAACATGTTTGCTCGTCGTGCGTTTCTGGGGGGGAACACGGCGCTGCGGTCCGCGCTGGTGGCACAGCGCACCGGTGGTGGCGGCGATGTTGCTTTGCGATGCCACCGTCGGAACGTTACGCAGCTGTTTTCGAATCTTGTCACGCACTCGCTGCAGGTGGAAGGGTGTGTTTCCCTTAGCACCCTCCTGTATTCCCCGCTAGGTACGGCGCTGTTGGTTGCCTTGGCGTACAACGTGGTGGTGATCGGCACGAAACACGTCACCTACACCATGGAAATTACGGGGAAGGACTACGTGCAGGATCAACAACTGCACACGATTATGAAGTACAGCATCCTTAGCTGTATCCTGCTTGCGATGGAGGTCATATTTGTGGAGGTTTGACAGTGAGACATCTGCGTGACACACATGTTTTTTTTTTTTCATGTGCGCTGCGGCAAAAAGAGGGTATAGACAAAAAATTTTGAGTCGTTCTCAATATGGTGTTTTTTGTAGTCTTAGCTGTTTTTTTTAAAAAAAAATTTGCTTGGTTTTTTGGGTTTGTCCGTTTTTAGGGAAAAGACATATATGTGCTACACTCCTTTTTGTGTATGCGAGTGTGCACTTTATAGTATTGATCACGTCATTTTTGTACAATGACCAAGGAGGAAGTCATTGCCCGAGAATATGCAACAGCAAAGCGAAGAACGATCGGAATGGTGCAGACGCACTCTCTGTGATATGTCGGTGTATTGGTTTTTGAATTATTATTATTATTATTCTTTCACTTATCCCCACCCCCACCCCTGCAACCACGCCGTGGTGTCCGTGGCCCGCATTTGCCTTCCTGCGTGTTGTTATTCATATTTGGTCTTATTTTTATTTGTTTTTTCCCCCGTAGTTTTGTTCCGCGCAAGTCTGCAGTGAGTGATGAGCGGGAAGCAGAACAGGGCGTTCAGCAAGGAGGAGGAGGAGGAGGAAGAAGACGAGGAGCTGTTGGACGAGGAAGAAGAGCTGAAGAATGGAAGCAGTAGTGAGGACGAAGAAGAGGAGAACGAGCACGTGAAGGACGGGGAAAGGGCTCAGAAACGCAAAGACGGCGAAGAAGATGCGGAGAATAGTGACGAGGAAACCGCAAGAGATAAGAAGAGAAACAACAAAAAACGGACGGAAGAGGAAGAAGAAAATTTGCCACCACGCAAACCAGCCGTGCGGGAGATTCAACTGCTGCTTCCTGGTCATGGGCCAGAAAAAATCACTGTGAGTGTCCGTCTTTCTGCTGAGGCGTCTATACACCCTGCAAAGAAGTTGCGGCAGCATGAGGGACATGGTGCCGAGGAGGAAGAGGCTGAGGAGGAAGAGGCTGAAGAGGAGGAGGAAGAGCTGATCGATGAGGAAGAGGAAATCGGTGGAGAGCAGCGCAATATGCCGTTGTCTCCACCGTGGATGCCGCATTTGCTCAGCGATGACGCTTTCCATTGGGAACGCACGTTACTGCTTATGTATGGCTACACCTCACCCCCAGTGCCGACGCCGTCGGATGGCGATAGAAATGAGCACAGCGAGCAGGATGCGCCAAAGGGAAGTCGGCATACCGACTTAGTTGAAGAGGGAGAAGAGGAGGAGCAGGAGGAGGAGGAAGAAGATGAAGAGAATAAGGAGATGACAAAAAATACAGAAAATGCAAAAACAGAGACGGTGGTGGAAGGTGCCAAGCGGGCATCTATTGTTAACGGCGCTGCTGACACGGCATGGCTGGCTCCCGAGTCACGTCCTACTGGCAACGAGGACTTTTTTATTGTGTAAGGAGGCAGATGAGTTTGGCAACGCGTCCATACGCTCTTTCAAAGCAAGCCTATCGCTAAGGCCGACGCACTCTTTGCATCTAACGGTGCTGCGGTTTACCGAAGCACATCGTGTTCTCTTTTTGGTGCGTTCGGTGGATGGAAAACGGTGGTATCTGCTAGACACACTTCCCCAGCAGCATCAGAAGCTCACGAAGCATACGAACAGTGCTGGGGGAACCCCAGAAACAAGGAACGACACTAGATTGAGGACACATAATGAGGACTACGAGGATGAGGGGAAAGAAGAGGAAGAAGAAGAGGAAGAAGAAGAAGAAGAAGAAGAAGATGGTGAAATGGAGGAAAAGGAAGGGAGTGAAGATGTAAGTAATAGCCTTGACAAACAAGAACAAGATGATGATGACGAGGCGGGAATCCCAAGTGCGCGGCACTTAGACATGGATTCCGTTATTTGCATTGATGTACTGATGCTTGCCGCTCTACAAAGTCGAACTGCATTGCGTTGTTGTCTCTTACAGCGAGAACCTGTTTCACTTACCTGCGTGGAACACTGGCTACGCATGGACCTTTGTGCCGCAATGCCAATTTTCACTACAATTTGCCGTACGATGTTATCTGTCCATGCAACGGGAGGCGCACGTCTGCCGTATGAACTACCCAGTACCGCGATGGACTTTAACCTTTTCTTCGCTGCATCATACATCAACCACCGTCTTTCTACCTACCCCCGGATGCAAATGAATGCCTTACAAGTGGATCAACGTGAAACCCATGACAAGGAATGTATTTCCTTTGCGGGAGAGCGGAGATGCATTGAAACCATGGAGGCATTGCTGAAGGTGCGCGTGTTTCCGGCTAAGCGCATCCTTGTACAGCACTTGAGCTCTGTAGTTGGAATCCGACTCCTGTTGTGGCTTCTTATGAAGATACCAAAGCGACTTCTTCATTCGTGGGCATCTGGTTCTGCCGACGAAGATGCTGTATTGGGCAGCCACCTCAATCTTGCTAGGAAAGGGGGACTTGATGCGAAGTATTACGATCATGACGAAGAAGAAAATGAAGAGGAGGAAGAAGAGGAAGAGGAAGAGGAAGAGGGAGGAGTTTCAAGGCAAAAGGCTTCCAGTGATGCTGCCGCAATTATTGCGTTTTTACGGCGCACACAGCTGGGGGATGGATCCAGATTTGTTATTGCTCCTTTTCTACTAGCAGTTGTGATCGAAATACGCCGCCGCATTCAACGTGATTCAAAAGGGAATGAACCATCCAGGTTTACACTCATGGAGTGTCTTGGGCGTGCCTTGCTGCAGCGTGTGGAAGATGGTAGGCCTAGAAAAGATCCGCTGGTGGTGTCATCCTTCTCACTTCTCCCAGAAACAAGCGCAGAGACTGGTGAAGCATTGCCAACGCGACCTCGGATGCAGCATCTGTACCAAAGTGATCTTGTCATGCTTCTACTTGTCTTAACGAGCACACAGTCGAAGCGCCACTTGCCCCCTCTTGGGAAGGGGGACAAAAAAGGGTCTGTAGTGATTCGATCATGCGTGCAGCTGCCCTTTGGTGCCTTTGATGGGCATTATGAACTCTTTGAATATCTACTGCGGAAAAAAGCGGAAAGAGTTCGCACCTCAACCGAAACGTTGAAGTCCGGTTATTTTTGTCTGTTGTATCTTTGTTTGCTGCGGTTCAAGCAGCTCTCCTCTCTGAATCTCCTTCTCTCCATGACCCCACTATTCGCCGTATTGGGGCCACACGATCGCGCTCCCTTTGCTGACCTTGTGCAGGCCTGGATGCTTGATCGTGACTTGACGACAGGGCATCACCTTGACTTGTTTCTTGACACCTTCTGGAACGAACTTTATTACCGCTCTCTTGAGAGCCAATTTGATTCGGATACAATCGCCAAGGGGCAAGCATTGCTTCTGTTCGATAAAATGATGGAACGACGCAAGGCATACATCTGCACACTGCATCAAATGTGTTCTTCAGTGCGTTTCCCGTCCCGAATCTCTTCTGACGCAAGTCAATCGCGGAAGTCGGTCGTGGAAGGTGTGTTTCCTTTTTCCCCGCAGGGGGCGGATTTGCCCAACACGTGGCCATCTTCCCGCATAAAGCGTGGAAGTTTGGCAGTATACGAGCACAGTGAGGAGTCTTTGCAAGCGGAAGAGCAAGTGCGGATGGCATTTGAGTCTCTCTCGGTGGCATCACGTACATATCTCAGCCCTGAAACACTCTATACCATCCTTTTCGATGAACCTGTTCACAACATAGGTCTTGTGCGTTACTTGATGATCCGCTGTCGTGTCGTAACAGTCTGTGCAAATCCGCTAAAGGAAGTTCAAGTGCCAGCGATGGAGTATGCCCTGCGCTCAGGCAACGAAGGTGTCATCAGGGTACTGCTTGGGATCGGGGCTACACTTTACGATTATCTCGATGGTGGAACTGTGGAGCAGGACGTGTTCTTGTACGAGGCAGCTTCAGAAAAAGAAGTAGCTTCACTGCTTGACATGTGGAAGAAACGAGAGGAGCAGCGACAAGTAGACCCGTTGGTCTGCTACGGGATTTTACGTACGGTGCGAAGCGCTGATTAAGAACTGAGATGTTTGGGGATGCAAAGCAGCGAAGAAAAGGAAAGAGATAACAGGGGGTGGGGAATACGCTTGAAGTATACGATGTATAAAGAGTTAGAGGTTTTTCGGGGTATTAGAACATGTACAGTTACCTCAATTCCACTTTGAGACATGTTAAAAGCTGATCCTGCTATGAATGGTCTCGCATTTTTTTGTATATGAGTTTGTCTGCCGATTTATTTTGCTTTTTCTTGTTGTTGCGGCCGTTGTTACTTATGGGTGGCAGTGCTTCTTCCTCCCGTCCATGTGCGTGTTTTTTTTTTCCGTGGTCACCCTTTTCTCGCTCTGTTGAGAAGTAGGATTGCCGCACCCCTACCCCTACCCCCCATACTCATAAAACACGCTGGGGAAGTAGATGGAAGAGGGAGGAGGCAGGTGCACCCCGTCACTGTCGGGTTCTTTGCTGAAACTACAGCGGAAGGTTCTCGTTGACACCGTCAGTGTAGATGGTGCTGAGCCACTCAGGCGCTCTATCTCTATTCCTGCTTCAAGGCTTGCGGATGCACGCGAAAATGCCGCAAATGATTTGCTTAATGTGGGTCGAGTAAACAGAGCGCTGGTAACAAACCCGTCGTTTCCTGCTCATGTGGCACGTGTAGATGAAGTTCCAAAGATCTCAACTTGTTCAGCACAATCTTTTGCGGTTGCTGCACCTTTTCCGAACGAGACAGCGTTGCCGTGGCGGATGCGTGCATCGCTGCCTGTCACCAGCTCGCCTGCTGCAGAAAAGGCTGCTCGTATGGATGAGGTCAACACAAGCTCTGTGGCGTACCCAGGAGGTGCTGTTCTTCCAGCTCTCATGACTAAATTGTCTGACGTGGAGCGAATTCTTTATACATTGCTGCCTCCTAGGCGCACCGTGTGTAAGGAGACAGGAAATACATTTATGGAGTTTGTCTCTACGGAGCCGTCATCTCGTATAGAGGTGGCGGAGCTACATGAGCAGTTGGTCAACCTGCTGAAGCAGCGACGTGCTCGGGATAGTGGTATATGCCCGATTAGACGTGAAATTTATGCAGAGGTCTTTGATGAACTTATTAGGCAGGTAACGCTGGAGGAGCCAACGCGAGGCATTCTGCTGCTGCGTGTTCGTGATGAGTTGTACCAGACCTTGGCAGCCCACCGTTCTCTCGTGGAGCGAGCCATGTATTTTGCCTCCAAGCAGCGGGAGGAGTCTGATGAGGGTGTAGCGCAGCTCAAACAGCGTATCAAGGAATTGGAGGAGGTACGATTGGAACTATTGATGAAGCGAAAGGCGGCGCAGATGCGGGAGAACCAATTGCTGCACACCATTGAACAGGAGAACAATGCCCGCAGCAAGGTCCAGCAAGATGAATTGGGGTACTTCCGTCGATCCAACCGCCAGTTGGCGCAGCGTATTAAAACCGAGACAGAGCGCACAAATGCACAGGGAGTGGTTATTCCCGCCGTTCTACTGGACGGTGAGGTAACACAGATTAAACCTCCAGTGACCACGTAAATGCCACAACAACGTCAACAAAAAAAAAAAACAGGTCTTTTTCAGTGTGGATCAAACTTGGATTTTTTTTTTTTTTTTTGGTAGGGGGGTGTTTTATTCTTTTCCTGTGTGTGTATGTAAGTCAAGGTGTACCTTTTGTGGCGTCGGACCTGAAGTGGGTGGGCTATTGATGTACCTATTGATATAGACATACACTAACGCATGATTCTTTTTCTCTTGCTAGATACGTATCTATGTACATATGCCTGTGTAGGTGCCAAAACCCAAAGAGAAGTTGTGACGAGAAGAAGGTGGAAATCTCTTGAATTAAATCAAGCCTTTTGACATGTTGTTGTTTTTTTCCTCCTTTGATATTATCGCATTGAATTCCCACTTTTGCTTAAAAAAAATATTCTTTACCACTCTTCCTGCAGTAGTTGGAAGGACAAAATACATACGTACATACAAGTGAATGAAGTCCGATGTATCTATTGGGGACAACTGGAGGTATGGTGCTTCAACGAAGGTCCCCACTTCTACTGAGGAGAATGAGGTAAAGAAGCTGTTGCAACACTGCAGGAAACCATGGTTCTATTGCTACCCGCGAGCACGTGCTCACTCATCTCTTCTTGCATACTATCGAGCAATGGGAGGTGATGAAGTGTTGCTGCATCAACGCCTTTGCCGCGTCGCCTCTCGTGAGATATTGTCGCTAGTCACATCGTCACAGATCACCACAGAAACGGACAACACGCACAACTCCAAGCGGAGGGACGCTCCCTTGAATGTGCGTCTCGTTCAGCGTGTATATCCATCTAGTCAGATGCCTCTTATCAGCGAGAGTACTGTCAGTATGGTGGAGGCGGTGTTGAGTCATTTGCAGCTGCCAGAAGGAATCACTGTATTCCTGCCAGGTTTGCTGTTGTACCCATACTACCACTTGCTGGAACTTTTTGATGCATGGAAGTTGCGTGTCATTGGTTACGATGTTGATTATGTAACGATGCGTGTGGGGGAGGATGACTTTCGAAAAAAAATGCGGGGAATTGCTCTCCATGGTTATTGTGACAGGAATTCAAGACAAAAGAATTTTAACTGTGGTAGGGAGTACTCTGCAATTGTTTTGCTTACAGGGCTTGGCGCACGCTTCTTGGCGAATGCCGAAAACATTGTAAATATCGCACGTAAAGAGTCCCGTGTTTTGACGCTGGAGCTGCATCCCGTCACAGCGGCTTCATTTTGGCCGGAGTTTGACGGCACAGGGCGGGCTGACGTGCACATCACGTGTATGGACACCGCCGGAGAAATTGGCGGCGCAATCGCATTTAGCAGAGATCCTCTGCTTGCGAGAGGTATTTTGACGCGCCTGGAAGAGCGGCCTTTGGCTGCCGCGCGAAAGTGGTGGGTTGCACTTGCGCGTCACTTTGCTCACGAGATGGTGTCAGATGGCATGAGCTTCCAGCTTGCGCTATGTGCGATGCGGTGGAGGTCTCTCATAGCGAAGAAGATTCGGCCGGAGAAACAGAAGCTAACTGCGAAGGAGGCACAGGTGCACGGGGCAGCGAGGGGGGATGGGCGTGGCACCGTTGCGCGGGCCGACCGCATCTTTGAGTTTCTCATGGCCTCACAAGTGGAAGCTGCCCGTAGCGGCGCAACAAGCCATGAAAAGAATAACATGAGTGCAGGAGGTAAGAAGAAGAAGGATGATAATAATAATAGTGGTCAAGGCAGCCCGATGCCGATGTCAAGTGTTGAATCTCCTAATTCAGCTTTTTTTCGGCCTCACCGTGGACTTCTTCTTTGGATGATAACCGCCATCACCTCAATGCAGCAACGCGCTGAGGCAGACTGCATCTCTCTCTGGGAATTTCTCAGCCGTCTGCGTAACGATGTGGAGGTTGTTTCGGCTGGGGAGCCGACGACCCCGCGGCGCTGTGTTGCAAGTCACTCCGACAGTTTGCTACTTCGCGTTCGGGAACCCGAGGTGGCAGCACGGGCGTTGCGCACCGTGGGGTTTGACGCCGTCCCCGCTGTTACTCGCGTCTGGGACCGTGGCAACAAGACGGGCGAGGTATGGAAACCAGTGATGCCGACGCTGCGTGAAATCGTTATTCTTTCTGACTGCCCGCAGAGCACCGAACTCGCAAAGCACGCTCTTTTCCTACCGCTGTACAGGGAGATGCGGTGGAAAAACCGACAGAAGCTTCACCATGTGATGCAGAAAACATTTCCCGCATCACTGTTTTGTAGCCCCAGTGCGCACTTCCAACAGCATGTGATGAACACACCCTCCCAACACGCCTACCACTCGACGGAGGTAGAGGCACTACTGCGGTCATGGAGGCAATCTTGTAAAGACGTGAACGTCCTTTTTTGCAAATCCGCAGCCCCTTCTTCTTTGGCGCTTGTGGGGCCTGTTCCTGGCTACTTGCTCTCAAGCTCTGAAAGAGAGATAGAGATAGAGGAAGAACAGTGCTCTC